GAGAAATCATCCACAATGTATTTTATACACAAAGCAAGTGTTTTTGTAACTCTAAGAGATATCGTGAAAGCGCTACAGGCGTGCCAAAATCGTTTTCGAACTTCAAGCTAACTTTACCCCGGTGCCGGACCGGGGGGGGCGCTGGGGACCTTCAGACGCCTCTGAAAGCGTCACTGCCGAGGAGCCCGGTGTCATTGGACGCGGCTAGCCGGCTGCCCGTTACATGTTCAGCGCTGCTTCGCAAACAGGATTTAATTACACATTTTTTACAGTTTTCAGTGGGTGTTAGGGATGCAACACACGTAGTCCGCTATACGAACGGCTGCGGTTCGAATTTATTGAATTCTTGAATTCTCCGGCGAGATGTCCGTGCTCGCTGTATTGGCTTGGCCGTTGCTGGTCATCGCGCTTTCCGCCGGGCAAGGTAAGATACATTATCAGTCTGAGATACCCTGAAAGGCCTCTGTTCTGGAAAATTAAACGTTAAAAGCTGCATTGACATTATAACGTGTCTGTTTCTCCTCACTGCTGGGGAAACCGCTGCTACATTTTGTTATTACTGTTCTTGCACTGGATGAATATCTGGTGGGTAGCTGTTGGTAATAAGCATTTCACAAGAGAGGCGTTATTGTTAAAAATCTGTAAAGTGCTTGCAAAACCAGTTTGCTGTGGTGTTTGCAAATTAAATTTAGGATGTTTAATTCGAAATGCAGTACATCCTACAAAGTACAAATCCTTGGATCTCTTTGGCCTTTATTTAAATGTACCATTAAAAATCTTGCAGCTGATGACGTATTGTTGCTTTAATAACTGTAATATTGTATCATCACACTCACACGGCACTTATTATAAGCTAACAAAAATACTCGTAGCACCAAAGAAGTACAGTGTGTAGCCATTTATATCATAGCAGCGGGGCCTGTACGTTATCCTGCGTGGAAAATAACATTTCTGTTTTCAAGCTGCTACCGAAGACAAAAAGGTTTCTGTATTGGCGACTGCTCGGAGTGGCACTGTATCCTCTCTAAAATATATCTCACCAGTCTTTTTTTATGTACACTGATTGTAAACCACCTCCGAACCGTCATCTTTTGATTCTAGGTACATACAGTATATTTAACACTTCTCTTCGTAAACTCCGTGCCAACTGAAAAGAAAATCAGATGTCGTGAGAGGCATAATGATTTTTTCTGATCCTCGGATCAGCTTGGCTTCTTTCATGATGCTCCGTGTTTTGCTTTGGTGTTGTGGGCGCGTTTATATCCGTGTGTCCTTTAACCCTTGTAAGCGGTACTTATCGGATATCCTTTACCCATCAATGAAAATCTAGGAAGACAAAGCAGATGGTATTAGCAGGGTAAACATTAAAAAGATGCACGAATATTGTGTAGTGGGCAGCATAGTGGTGCACTGGTTAGCATTGCTGTCTTGTGGTGCTGGGGCCCTAGTTTCAATTTCTGGGGTGCTATCTGTGTAGAGTTTGTATGTTCACATGGATTTCCTCCTGCAGTCCAAAGACATACTGGTAGCGTAAACGCCTTCCTGGAAAACTGGCCCTGGTGTGAGCGTGTGCCCTGCCTTGCTCCTGTTGCTTGTCAGGATAGGCTCCAGCTCCTCTGTAACGCTGTATGGGATTTAGCAGTTAGAAAATGGATGGATGGGTCTAATATTGTATAACCACAGCAGTAAACATATGTAGGAGGAGGTACCTCACTAAGTACTTGAAGGCAGACACAACCGCTTCTCTCTGGTCTTTCCTGAGAGATGGCCCTTCAGAGCAGAGCAGGCAGCTGAAACCCAGGAACAGCTGATGGAGAGCAGAGTGACAGCCATTAATCTAGAGGGGGAGCCATGATGGGAAAACCGCAGCTGCTCAGTTTCGGTAACCAGAAACGGGTTTGGCGAGGGCTGTTGTCTTGAGCTGTGCACCCTCCTCCTTTTTTTTTCATCTCCTGACCAAAAGGACAAGCTGAGAAGCGGTCAGTCAGGGCTTCACTCTGAAAATCCTCTCTGCAGGTGTCTTAAGAACAGAAGTGCTATCAAGCAGAAGCTCTGTGCCAATCTGGACTTTCTAGATGTCCCTGGATGCTTTTTGTGAACATAAAATAGCCCGTTTGGTAGTAGTTAATTGAGGTTTATGTAGGTAACTTTGTCATCATACATAGGCTGCAAAGGGTTATTCCATGCTGTCAGGAAAAGAAAGCTCTCTTCAGGTGTGATGAGGTCCGAAAGAAGGCTCCACAGCTGAAACGTTGTGTCTCTTAGTAGTTAATTGATCTGAGGACCTCATCCAGCCAGGGGTTGAAAGGAGTTGGCTTCAACAAAATAGCTGGGCAGCTTGTTCCATACTCCCACCACCCTTTTTGTAAAGCACCCCTTGTGCCTTAGTCCGTATATTAATGTATACTCCCGTACATTATTCATCACAATTCAAGTGCATGAATTGTGCCTGGAGGCTTACTGGTCTGTGCGGGCAATTTCAAATGTGTTATCTTTCTGTCCTACTTGGGAAAATTTGACATGGTGCGGAAGCTCAAGGCTTTTATTTGATTGCACAGCATATTTCCGAGTAATTTTTCAGCAACATTCAGACAAGACAACGTCCTGCAATGTTAATTTTGCAAAAGCCGGTTTATTTCATGGTTTCTTCTGCCGGCCGGTTTTAAAGTTTAAAATAAAAACCTTCTGGAATTCCAATTTCTGGGGGTGTCACGGTGTCGCATTGCTGCCTCACAGCGCTGGAGCCCTGGGTTCAGTTCTGGACCTGGGGGTCTGTCTGTGTAGGGTTTGTACGTGTGATCTCCTGGTGTCCATGTGGGTTTCACCTGGGGGCTTCGTTTTCTTCCTACACTCCAAAGACACACTGGTATTTTATTTGGCTTCTGGGAAAATTGGCCCTGGTGTGAGCACGTGTGTGTTGGTGTTTGCGTCTGTTGTTCTGTCCTGTGATATGGTGTGGTGTCTCCAGGGTGTATTCTGCCTTGTGCCCAGTGCTTGCCAGGATAGGCTCCATTGAGTCTGACATTCACCCACAGGGAAAGAGTCCTCATGCACTGTGGTTTGATCCATTTGCTTTAGTACTGTAGCAGTGGGTGCTGGATATTTCCAGGAAATTTGCAAATGCACAGCATTTCAGATTGAAATGTTATGAAGTATTTTTCTGATTCATCAGGTTAGCTTGTAAGCTAGCTAAACCAATCCAGCTACCCCAAATTAATAGTCGGGTTTGTTTCCCTGAATTCAAGGATTGGATATTTACCTGGATCATCACATTTCTATTACAGTTTGTTGCCAGTTGCCAGTGCTCTCAGTTGGGTTTTCTGTAGTAGAGTGAATTGAGAAGCTCTGAGTTCAGCGATAAGTTTGCACCAGAGCCACCCAGTCTGCAAGAGCCTGTGAAGCAGGTTTAGAGAAGACGGAGGAGGTGACTTCTCTGTACTGGAGAAGCCTCAGTCTTACTCTGCTGATGCTGTATCCTTCACCTTGGCTGTAACCGCTAATCAGATTGAAAAGCCTGGATCTGTCCTCAAGCTCAGATGAGGTCCTTCGCCTGCTGCGACTCTTAAGAAAGTAGGTTTTGTTTCGACTGTACACCCCTTCAGAGAGTGGGCATGGTGAGTTTTGTCTTCTGAGTATATTAGCTTTCACCCTTTAGTTCTGTTCATAGTTGATTTTGGGAAAAATTATGGGCAAGATTCCAAGCAGCAGTTTTAGTTATTTATATTCTGTCTATGTAAACCTTTTGAGAACTGTAGAGCATTTTGAGCACCTTCTTTACCAAAAGGTGCCAGTTTGGCTAGGAGTGTTCTGTTAATGTGGCACACAACATAAGAATCATGACAGCTGAGAGAGGGTCATTCACCCATCAGGCATGTTTGGTTGCTGTTACCTTATCACCCTAAGATCTGCTTTCTTCCAAGAAAGAGCTGGATATCGGCTTGTGCTGGGCGGCTTGATCCACACTCCCACAACTCTTTGTCTACAGAAGCTGGCCCTGTTCTCAATCTCAAACGCACTTTGCCTTGGGTTTGCATCTGCTGACCTTTGTGTCTGCAGTGAGCGCCAACGAGGACTGCCTGTGGTATGTGGATAAGAACGGCACCTGGCACAATGGCTTCGACTGCCCCCTCATCACCTTCTGCTGCGGGAACTGCCACCGGCGCTACTGTTGTCTGGACAGCTTCAGGATGATCACCGAGAGGGAGCAGAAGCACTGCATGCTCTTCCAGTTCAGGTATTCAATTCTGAGCCACCCAGGGAGAAGACAGATCTGTAACATGGCGCATAAATATTCCTTTTGTTCCCCTATTCTCTTAGCTTTCAAGTGTCTCTTTATTGTCAGGGTGTTGGACAAAGCAGGCGAATCCATTGAGGTCAGAAATAAAAAATGTTATTTGTTAAACACCTCGAATCAAACATTTTGATGATATTTTTTCTCTCAGTTTGGAATTGGTGATTGCTTTAGGATTGAGGAGGGAAGAGACGTGTAGAGACACAGAGACCCGAACTGCTGTTTGTCGTGTATCCTGCTCCGCAGTGCCTGTTGGGGGAGACGGTGCTGATTGGAGGAGCAGTACGTCCCTCACTGACATCACTGCAGGTCTGCTGGCGATTGGGGAACTGTGCATTCGCTTCTAGCCACTGAGTCAGCCATTCAGTCAATACTGGCGCCCTAATAATCTGTTTTGCAGATATGTGGCACAGTCATATGGATTGCTGCCTTGTAGTGCTGGGGTCCCAGGTTCAATTCCAGTCCATAGATGTACTGGTAGGTTAATTAGAGTCTGGGAAAACACACCCACTCCCCAGGTTACATGAAGATCCTTTTCGGTAGGTCTGTACTTAGTTTATGTGAATGGAAAGCGACTTGCTCGAGAGTTACCATTGCAGATACTTATAAATGAAAACATTTTGCTTAAGAAACAAAGCATGAAACACTCAAAATACACAGTAAAAAATCAATGAAACATTAGCGAGAGAAGGTACGGTCAGGATACCACAGCTGCACGACAGCAAAGTGAGACCGAGTGTAAAATGGCATCCTGCTGGTGACCGTGGTACAGCGACTCTGTGCTGCTCATCCGCGGGAGGGCTTGCGTATCAAAGGTAAACGTTGCACAACTTGCACTATGAGTCTTGCGTGATCCTGGCAGGGATGTAATATATGACAGAAAAAGTGTGCTGTGGTGAGTTCATGTGAGGGAGGGCGCAGTCTCGGAGTGCTGTACGTGTGTAACCTGCCTGCCCCTCTCTGCGCAGCCCCACCACCATCGCTGGCATCGCCTCCTCCATCCTGCTCTTCGTGGCCATCATCGCCACCGTGGTGTGCTGCTTCATGTGCTCCTGCTGCTACCTGTACCAGCGCCGCCAGCAGCACAGGACTCCGTTCGAGGGTAGGGGGTCCTGCTGGGGGGGGGGGTCGGTGTGTCAGACTGTGAGAGTGTAGATCAGTGCCACGCACAAAAGTAGACTCAAGCGCGGATAATTCAGTAGCAGGGATGTGTTTGGGATTCGTGGCCTGACCGCAGGCTAATGCTCGGAGACCAGAGGCTGCTTGTTACAACATGGGGGGAAGAACGGCGGACAGGAAGTGTGGTTTGAAGACATCGTGTCTAGTTAATTGTGCTACCATTTTCTTCGTAAGGAGTGTCCTTTTTAAAACAAGACTCCTTTCATTCCTCTGCTTTAGATCTGTCCTTCAAACGAGGGAGTGATTGGCCATAACTGGTCAGCTTTGCAGTGATGTACCAGTCAGTGATGCGAATGTGATGTTTTTCAGGCCAGCAAATTCCACTCTCCAACTACCCCATGGATTCCTCACACCAAGCTCCAGGCAAACCTGCTGGGGCCCCTGAGTACCATTACCCCGGTTACCCACCTGAACCGCAGTATCAGCCTGGCGCACCCCACCAGTATCCCATGATGCCCCCGGCGCCCTACCCACCCTACCCACCCGCAGATCCTGGGTATGGCCAGCCAGGTAAGAGCCAGTGGGAGAAACCAATTTATACTCCAGCCCATCTAGGCAGCTCAAGGGACGTACTCTGGTTGTGATTATAATAGCCAAACCATTTTAAGCAGTTGAACGGTGTGCTGTGTGTGGATGTAGCTCGAATGAGTTCAGAGTTGGGGGGCACAGTGGTACAGCAGCTAGCATTGCTGCCTTGCAGCCTTGGGGCTCTGGGTTCAACTCTGGACCTGGGGTGCTATCTGTGTGGAGTTTGTATGTTCTCCCTGGGTTTGTGTGGATCTCCTCTCTGTTCTTCAGTTTCCTCGCTCAGTCCACAGACATAATCGGTTAATCGGCCTCTTGGAAAATTGGCCCAGGTGTGCGTGTCAGTGTGTGTGCCCTGAAGTGGACTGGTGTCCCATCATGAGGTGTTGCCCTCCTTGTGCCCGTTGCTTGCTGGGATAGGCTCCGGCTCCCCCTTGACCCTGAACTGGAAGAAGCGGTTAGAAAAAAGATGGGTGGATACGTTTGACTTCAGTTTCTTTTTTCACAACATGAGATGTGAGCCTGTTTCAGTGACCAGGACTGAACGGTTAACACTTGGCTCAGCACCCACAGCCCCTGATCCGCGCTTTTGCAGTCTAATCTTTTCCGATTTAACCGGCACTCCTGGGAGCTTCCCACAGAACACCCAGGTGCCGCAGGTCATGCTGGTGTAGAAGAGCGAGATACTGTAAACCTTGTAATGGCGGTGGTAGCTAAATGACAGTGAGGTGTGTACAAAGTAGAGCTGCCCAGTGTGATTCCTGTGAGGCAGCAGATGATGATTGAGGAGGCAGTGTCTATTATAGCAGCGCAGCACAGCAGGCAGGAAGACCGATGAAGCCAAGCACTGACGTCCTGCTGCTGTTCCTTGTGTTGCAGTGCCCCCTCCGTACACCCCCCCGCAGTACAGCGGCCCCTGAGGAGCAGGAGAGGGGGGGACAGGACTGCGCCAGAAGAGCAGGGACAGGCCTCCCTCTCTCGCCGTCACTCCACTGGCTTCTCCCATTTAAAAAAAAGCACTAACTCACACCATGCGGCTTTGTTTTCTCTCATTGGATGGAGCATGATCTGAGCTGGGACTTCTGCTGGACTGTGCTGCATCTGCAGGACAGCAGGGGGCAGTGTGGAGATGTCAGCTGGCAGATAACAGAAGTATTCTCCTCGAAGTCGGGAACAGCCCCACATCACAGACTTCCAACTACACCTGGAAAAAGGGATCACATGTCTCTGGGGTTTTCTCTTCTGCGTTTTGCATTTTCTTTTCTCTGCTTTATTTTTTTTTCTCTCCTTAATCGTATTGGAGCACAAAGAGGTAGATATTAAAGGTCACTCACGTCAATTTTTAGGCCCATTGTTCCTCCTCGTGGGTCTTAGTGATATAAAAAACTCACTCAGCTGCCTCCTTCTGTAATTCTGCTCAAAGCATCCTTGTGGCTGTGCACGTGTTCTGGTTCATGGTGTTTTGAAGTTCAAATACTCTGCAAATGGCTAATTTCTCCAGCCTCTCCCCTGTTGCTGTGGTTTACAAACTTCCATTTATTTATTCATTTGACAGCACTTCTATGGGAACTTTAGCTTTTCTTCCTGGCCACAAACTGATGGTGATTAAAGGATTCGCGTTTTTGTTTTTTGTTTTTTTTAAATGCTTGTCGTCATTTGGAACTGACCAGAGCAGAAAGATCCACTTCAATGAGACGGTCTGTTAGAACGCGTATCGGACGCACCTAGACGAGTATTTGGTCTTCGGCTTACACAGTCTGGCCTCCCTAAAGTGCCCTTTGAAATCGCTGCGTGAAGCAGTTTCTCACTCGTCCACCTGATCAACTGTGCAGTGGGGCTGCTGGTGCTGGTCACCAATGCTGGTGCTGAGCCACACAGCCCTGGTTTCTGCTTGACTCCCCTTCTATACCTCAGCTGCGTTAGATCTCAGACTCTAGTCCTGGAGAGCCTTAGTTCAGCAGGATAAGTGACTATTAAATCCCCAATTTCGTAAGATTTGGACAAATAAAAAAAGGCAACCTTTTGAGGTCTATGACTGCTGAATCCATGTTGTCTCTGTAATAGAAAGCATAATAAAGTTCCACTGATACATGGCCATTGTCTCCTCATCAGAGAGCCAGTAGTGTCGGTGATGCATATTTATTTGTGTTTTACCAGTTAATTAAACAGGTGGAACCAAAATTGAAGTTCTCTTCAATCCCCAAGGACCACAGTTCTCTTAATTGAACAGATTACTTGCTACAGACTCGTTCACTGTTGAGAGGTTTTGCCGGCTGTCTCCAGCAGGTGACCCATAATTGAAGTGGGGGCCCCGTTTTATGTAGAAACCTGTTTTTTAGTTGCCGGTTGAGCAGGTTTGCCCGCAAGTCCCATAGATGGTAAAACACAGCTGCCAGCGATAGAATGGTTGTGATGTAGTCGATCTGTTACGTGCATTAAATAAGAAAATGTGACATACTGTACCGAATGCTTTGTTTTATAACTGTTTTCTTGGATCTGTGGAATGTACACCGAGGTGATGTGTTAAATCTATGATTTCAAAACTGGGTAAAACTAATTCTCTGTTCATTTACTAACCACACCAGTTTTGGGTGGGTGGCTTGTGGAGTAATCTTTTGTAACAAGTCCTTGCTGAGTGGGATTGAGGGCTTTTTTTCCCCGAGCGGTGTTTATCTTGCCCGTGTGGTTGCCTATCCTGCTTTTCTTGTTAACTGATTGTCGAGTAACATGATGGATAGCCATGTCCACATTAAGAAAAAAAGAAGAAACAAAACTGGCCAATTTGTAATAAATAAAATAATCAAAAGTTAACCTTTTGTGGTCTCTGGCTTCAAAATCCATGTTGTTTCCTACCTCCATAATAGAAAGTATCAGCAAAGTTCCACCGACGCTTGGCCATTGAGCCAGCAGTGGCAGTGAGTATTAAAAGAGGAACTCCAGTCTATAGACTGAGATTGGGCTGAACTAGCTGAGCCGTGTGGCAGCCCACAGCCAAATACATTACAGCAATGGTTCTCAGCCATGGTCCTGGAGGAAAACAGCCCTAATTGCTGACCTAATTGAATGGTTTGCTTCTTCAACCATTTATGTAACTTGTTTCTTTGGTCAGTCCTGATTGTCACACATACCCTGCTTCAAGGATACTGTTGCCACAGCTTTGGCACTCAGAGCTCTACACAGTCTCTCCTCACCTTGCTTGCTGTTCTGACTCAACTGCTCTTACAACTGATTAACATACACAGGTGGAACATGGCCTTCCACAGAGGACCCGTTGGGTAGAGTTTAGGCTGCACGTCTGAATAAGAGCGGTTGGGAAACTCTGAGGGTATATCAATCACAAATCCCGTATGACTTTTAGAGAACTAAAGGGAAATTTACAAACATGCCCCCAAATAAATAATAATAAACTGTATTTTACATTTTGGCTTCTCAAAGTGCTTTACAGAACAAAAAATACACAATGAGAGGAGACAGCAGAATTACATAAGTTACAGTAAGGGTTTGGAAAGCAAAGGGTCAGCCACACAACCAGTTAAATACAAGTCCTTCTAAAGAAGAAGGTTTTGAGTCTGTATGTGAAAGTGCTCAGGCTAAGTCACTCTGTGATATCCTTAGGGATAGATTTCCAGAGCTCTGGGGCCGAGCAGGAGAAGGTCCTGTCACCCATAGAACGTAGATGGGCTTGGGAGAGAGACAGAACACCAGGATTTATTTAATGAAGGTTGTGAGGTGGAGAGAAAGAAGATAAGTCAGACAGGTACTGAGGTGACAAGCCATGCAGAGCCTTATAGGCGAGTATGAGGATTTTAAAGTCAGCACAAAAATTGATGGGTAGCTAGTGCAAGGACTCCAGGATAGGAGTAATGTGATCACTTGCTCTAGAACTTTTCAGGATTCTGGCTGCCAACTTTTGACATAATGTAGTTTATTCAATGTGGAATTTGGATTCCTCAATGAGTGTGGGGCTCCAGGAATCAATTCTAGACAACAAAAATATGTTGACCACCTTTTCAGCAACAGTTAGCAACAACATAGGACGCAGTCTGGCAATAGTTCTGAGGTGGGAGAATGATGTTTTAACAATACGTTTCACATGTAGGTCGACCTAAAAACCTGGATCAAATATCACACCCAAGTTCTTCAATTTAGATAGAAACTCAAGTACAGTACCATTCATTGATAGGGTTACTGCATTGGCTTCACAAAGTTGAGGGAGGGTGCCCAGATACATGACTTTAGGCTTGTTGCAGTTTATTTGTCATCTAGGTTTTTATGTCAGAAATGCAATTAGAGAGCAGAGACGTGATTAAGAAATCAGATTAACACTAGAAGGATTTATCCTTTACGCATGTCATTTTGTATCTCAACCAGGAGGGGTCCTTCTAGACTCGTTTTCCGATTTTGTTAGAAGCTTTCTTCGCTTTTGTTTCTGAAAAGAAATGATAAATCACTGAAGAGGCAAAACCAGCGATTAATATGTGTGAATCGTTGATGTTTCATGTCCGAAAGTTATTTTCAGAGAGATAACATTGGGTGATTAGATATGAATAATCCCCTGGTCTGGAGAAAAATGCGGAGGGAAAGCGAAAGTAATTATTGGAGTTACTGGAGTCCGTCTTATGTAATTAAGTAATGTCGTAAGTGCACATGGTGAGTATTTATTAACCCGCAGGACATTAATTAAATGGAAAGGTTCAATCAATCAAACAGTAAAATATGTAGTATAGTCATTGAACATTTTGTTTGGTTTTCAAGTTTAATCGGTATCTAATCTAGGATCGACGAGAAAGATGTGCTGAGGAACAGATTTCGAGAAGCCACATTCAATCAAACTACTCAATTGATAAATGATTATTGGTTATGGGCAAGAATGTGTGAAAATCTGATTTTCCTTTGACCTAAAACCTAGCAATACAACAGGTCTCTGTGTTGACAATACAAGTACTGTATGTGTACAAGTATAATTAAGTGGTGTTTTCTGGTCTCGGAAGATTTCGAAGGGTGTTCGGGTGGACCCCA